AGTCAGAACTGGCGGTCAGTTTCAGCAGCGGCTGAATCTGGACGCCAGTTCCGACTTGCATACAGATTCAACTTAAGAACAAACCTACAGTCCCTATCTTGTGCATAACCCGGGGACTGCCTGTATTGGTTTCAAAATGAAAACACAGAAGGAAGAAAACCGATGGAGGAGGAAAGATTAGGAAATAGAAAGGGAAGGGAGCTGGTAAGAGGCGGTCAGTTTCAGCAGCGGCTGAATCTGGACGCCAGTTCCGACTTGCATACAGATTCAACTTAAGAACAAACCTACAGTCCCTATCTTGTGCATAACCCGGGGACTGCCTGTATTGGTTTCAAAATGAAAACACAGAAGGAAGAAAACCGATGGAGGAGGAAAGATTAGGAAATAGAAAGGGAAGGGAGCTGGTAAGAGGAAAGGGTGTTGCTTGTCTCACAGGCCCTTATTTAGTCTATCCACCTCCCAAATGCTTAATGCTGGAACTTATCAGGTACACATGAACACAGTACCCACCCCTGAAAAACACAACTTCTAATGGGAAATTCTTGCATTTCCACTCATGCTTCATACTATCTGTGCTATAGATTACTATGCCCTCTTTGGTACCATGTGTTATGGCTGTGAATTCCCCATTGAAGCTGGAGACAGGTTTCTTGAAGCCTTGGGCCACACCTGGCATGACACCTGCTTTGTGTGCTCGGTAAGTAAAACTATTCCCCATTTTATACAAGTCAGTGGCGGCATTGCTTGTGCTAACCTGAGCAATGTGGGTGTAAAAGCTACAATGTCACTTAATCCTCCTGACCTAAACAAAAAGCTCTTTCACAGTTGTTCGCTATTGTGGTATTTTGGCACTCTTAGAGATCATTTGGCCAGCATCATGACCATGCGTACTAGCATGTAACCCTTAATATTGATTCTCCTTGGATATAGCATTAAACATCAATAAAGAAAGAAGTCATGTTTCTAAAACAGCAAGAATATTGTTTGTATTCAGAGTTTTATATATACAAGGTTTGTTGTTTTTTTAAATGCAGACATACGAGTTTAGGCACAATAGGCACAGTGTCTAGGGCCTACAAAAATGGTTAGGGCCTACGAAAAAATGTAGGGCCTAAAAAATTCATAATTCACTGGAAAATCAGAAAAGAACACTGCTAAACCAAACTTAATAATTCGCTATCTTTGGTCAACAAACAACATACAGGTTTAACATACATTTAACTACAGGCAGTCCCCGGGTTACGTACAAGATAGTGACTGCAGACTGGGGGGGGGGCAAAGCAGAGCAAAGCAGAGCCAAGCCGCGGAGCACGTGGGCAGCGGACAGCCCTGTCCGCTGCCCGCGTGTTCTGCTGCTTTGCTTCCTCTCCCTGGTCTGCTGGAGACCAGGGAGAGGAAGGGCCCCGTTCGTAACTGCGGATCCAACATAAGTCGGATCCGCGTAACTCGGGGACTGCCTGTACCTAAATAAGAATAGGTTTTGACCAGCACTGACAATTTTTAATACCCCATCATGAAAGCAGGTTCCTAAGCAATGCATGATTTTTATTCTCTGGCTGTATGCATCAGTAATATGTGATTGTTATTTCACATTCATAATAATTCACTACATGATTTTTTTCCCCCAATCATATTTCAGGTATGTTGTGACAGTTTGGAGGGTCAGACATTCTTTTCCAAAAAGGATAAGCCACTGTGCAAGAAACATGCTCACTCAATGAACTTCTGAAACATAACAAACATAAGGAATGGAGAACGTTGAATTTCATCAGCTGTCCGTTTTCAGTAGGCTAATAAAATACTTACATAAGATTTTAGGCAATGGAAGAGAGAAGTAAGAAATGTTGGCTTTTTATGTATGATCATACTGAGTATTTATCAGTGATTTTTTTTTTAAATCAGTAAAAAGAGAGGGAGGGTGATCTGTATACCAAGAGTAAATTGAGTGTAAAAAATACACCCCTTACAGCATATCAGTATATTGATCTCATGATTTTTTTTATGGTCAAAATTGTATTTGTTTACATATCAGAAATGAGGCTTATAGATTAAGAGACCTGATCAAATGAGATTTCATTTTGTGGGTATTTAGGAAAAAAAGGGGGGTGGATTTGGCATCAGATATGTATACACATTATTTTATAGGAATGAATTCTTTTTATAAAAAATGGAACACTATAAAAGATAAGAAGTGAATGTATTTGAAGAATATTAATGCATGAAATATTTGCTGTGATGCCACATTCTTTGAGCCCGGGGTGGGCAATAACACAGCGGGGTTTTGCCAGGGTTTAGCCCCTGGTGGGCCGCCACTGCCATTTTTACCTGCATAGCCACAGGTACTGGCAATCACAGCTCCTGTTGGCTGTGGAATTGCCTTTCCTGGGCAATGGGCGTTGCAAGAAGTGGTGTCCAGGTCTGTGCTCTCATAGCCCAGGAACGGCGAACCGCAGCCAACAGGAGCTGTGATTGCTGGTATCTGTGGTCATACAGATAAGTATAGTGGTGGGAGCTTGCCCGGAGCTAACTGTGGTAGACCGGATCCAGCCCATGAGCTGGCATTTGCCCACTCCTTCATGAGCCCAAGCTACATTTTATGGAGTCTTGTCTTTGGTAGTCAAGTCTTCAGCAGATCTTCAATGGGCATTTCAGAGATTTTTACATGACCTCCAAATAATGATGGAATTGCAACTCTGTTGGAAAATAAGTATCTAAAAGATGTCTCGTGAGTCACTAGTGAAAACACATTGCTCTTCAAAATGTGGCAATTACCACCAAAATGCAAGCCAACAAAAGTGAGGGTGTGATATTGTGTCTGAGAAATATTTCATCACACCTTAAATTTAAGATTTTCTAGCTTTTCTATCAATTATTGACAATTACTAGAAGCGCCAAAGGGGAGAGGGAGAAGGAGAGAAAATTATTGTGCAAATGATGTTCTTGTGTCCAATACAAGAGACTTCCAGTATAATATGGGAAATCGCTAAATTACAACTGAAGATGTAATTTTCCCAAGTACAGTTTTCATCATGTAGCTCACAAATGTATGTATGTTCATTTATTATACTGAAAACTTATTGTCCTGCTTGTCTGCTATAATCTTATTAGTTTAACTTTCTCCAGAGACATAAGTAATAGATAGTTTGATATAAAATATTAAGTTAAGCAGTTCAGTAGCTTTTGGATTTTGAAAGAGAACAGACGCAACCACTAGAGTAATTATGCATATATTGCAAACTGCCAGACTTGTCAGCTGCTTCTGTGAGTTGATGCAAAATTATCCTCTTGAGTAGAGAGCAAGCACATGGCCTCTGCCCCACTGAGTCATACTTAAGCTTTCAAAATAGGACTTGAATAGTTAGGCAAGAGGATTTGACCCTTTACAGTGGGTGAATTTTACCCAGTGAATGAGAGTCCTCCCCACAGAAGAAGGGGCTTCTGTATGCCAGTTTAGACTTCTACTAGGATTTAGGCACACGCTAATTAGAGGGGGTTGTTAGTTCTGCCATTAGACCTCAAATTAACCTCATTTACTATTGAGAACTGATACTAAAGAAGTTTGTCTATGGCATTATGAAGAAAGTCAAATAAAGAAACTGGCACATCCGTTTGTTTGCCATGCTTCAGTAAAGAAATGTGTATAAAGTATGTATAAAAGAGAGCAACTACAGTGTTGCAATATAAAGGTAGAAAAATTAGTGTTCAGTTGAGTTCACTATAAAAGGATTCTTGGTAGGTAGTGTTCACTTTTAGTTGGAGGGGTGTACTTAGTAGAACTACATTTTAACTTCCAGTCGTATGGAGGAAATGTTGTAAAGAAGCTTAAAATATTTACAGTTTTCTAGATATTTGTGGGATGTACTAAAATACCAGAGTGGGAAATAGACTAGTCAAATACTTCCAATGAAGGTACACAGCACGTGCTTTGGAAGGGGATGATGGATATGGACATGTTTAAAATATACTGTAGTTACTTCAAGTGAAAAGTCTATATTTTAAAGGAGGAGAACTGAAAATCTTTTCACTAGATACACAGTATATATATATATATATTTGCCTGCTTGGAATTATACTGCAGTTAACACACATTGAATATTTATTGAAGTGATTATTCGTAACCTTCTGCCCCCTCTTGTGAACCAGGATTTGGAATTTCCCAGTTACTAAGGCCAGGTCTACATGAAAGAGGAAGGTTGACTCAACTCCAACTACATTAATTACGTAGTTGGAGTCAATGTACCTTGATTTGAGTTTCCCTGCCATCCCCACAGTTGGAAACTGTTGGGAGCATTTGCTCCCATTGGCTTCCATTAAATCTCACAGGAGCAGGAGTACTGGCTGCCAACAGAGGCACCCTCTGAGTTCGATTTAGTGGTGTTTACTAGACCTGCTAAATCGAATGCTAGAAGATTGATCACGGCAGCATCAATCTTCTGTGAAGGGAAGACATGACCTAAGAAGTGGCCTAAGAAATTCTAGGAATCTGGAAGGGGCTAATTCTGCTGCGTTATGCAGCAATTTTATCCTTTAATTTGTGCTCTATTTATATTAATGTACATGCATGCGCGCACACGCATTCTTCAAACCTAAAGTTACTGTTACGTAATTAATATTAAATGGTGAAAGCAAATTATATAAACAAACATACAAAAAAGGAACTATATGACTATTAACGTTTTTAATAGGTGAGATTCTAGTAGGGCACTTTATAAGAATTCTGTCTCTCTCACTGAATATAATTTTGGTTAGGAATAATCCACATTGGTATCGTTTTTATTGTACTTTAAAGGAAGCCTTGCTTATTTACTTCCAGAGTCTTTAGGGGGTTGTTTTTGTTTTGGGGATTTTGGTTTGGTATTTTATTATTACAGGCTTGATGTGGTTCAGTTAGCAATGTCACATCTTCCTAAAGTATTTTTCAAACAGTGTTCAGCTTTTGAGCAAATGTTAGAATTCTCTAGGTTTAATCCTGCCTTCTAGAACAATAGCAGGCATACCAGAAACTACATTATAGCTAGGAAAATCAACTGTGCTTTTTACATTCATGCTCTGTAAGTGATTTCTCAAAATATGCCTGTTGGAGGGCAAGACTGACTTGAAATGTTTTGAAGTGGAAGTGGGTTTGGGGGTTCCTAAATTGAACCATGATGGCAGGCTTTTCCAAGTTCAATTACATCAAGTGTGCTGCTTCATCTGTAACTATAAATAATGAATGCTTTATCATAATTTTAAAGACAAATGCTGGGTAGTAGATGCAATATGTGTTGATCCGTTCAGTATCTTTAACTGCTGTTTGCTGTGATACTAGCATTTTCTATTCATATGAATGGCTTTGCAAACAGCAATAAAAGGAAAATACTTTAATTCACAGTTTACAGCTGCTCAAACTTCTGTGTTTTTGCCTTATTTTGTTTGCTTGCTTCCTTTATTGCTTTGGCTTCTACTCTTAATTTCACATTTGCGAATTTCAGAAGACAAAACTCTGTTCCTGTTATCAGTTTTGACTCTGGATAAAGATGTATGAAAAATAGAGTCAGTATAGCAATGTCATGATGTACACATATTAATAAACAGGTTTGGAGTTGTATTTATTTTTATGGGTGTGTTTTTTTTCTTTTTTTGGTGTTCAGATTTTTTTAAAATCACACGAGAGAAGCAAAAATGTAGCCCAGAACAATACCTTTATCCTATTTCTATTAATTGAGCATTCTTTGTTTTAAAATATTGGCCAGAGTACAATATTTTGCAGTGTATTTGTAAGTGTGTTTGGCATTTTTCCCTAGGTTGAGGCTTTTCATAGCAATACAATCTCCTATGGCGAGCATTATCTGATACTGTATTTAGCCTTGGTACAAAGCATTCTCTGCTTTCACCTAGGGATACTTAACCATCTACTGTAACATGGTCAATTACTTCATGATAAAGCAACCTCATAAGATTCTCATGAGCTGGATAGCTCTGAAATAGGCAAATGCACTGTTGTTTTCTTCCTTTATTTGTACAAGCAGAAAAAATACTGCACATGCCTATATAAAATTTAGAGGCAACTTTACAGGAATGTTGTCTCTGCTGCAGTGTTTAGGCTACGAATAAGACAAATGCAAGTCTATTTGCAAACAGTATATTAAACTCCAGAAGCCAAACTCTTAAAGGCATCAAGTCTACATTTGACATTTTAATGAGAGAGGTTTGGTTTCTATCAATCACAACATCATTTAACATTAAAATGTACCGACAAAAATAAGAGATCTGTCATCCATTCATTAAGAAACTGTAATCTAGTGTAAGATTTATAGGCTAAAAACTCAACTGTGTGTTTTCACAATAAATCGCCTTTCACTGCTCAACCCAGAACAAGTCTTTCTGTCACTCAAAACTTTTGCCGACCGAAAGATCTTCAAAGGTTTTCTCACAAAATTTCATATAAATTCTTTTACCAGCAAAAGCATAATGTAGGTTTGCGTTTTACTTTGTTGGGGCTTTGGTTAATTGTGTGCTCAGACAAGATCTTGATTATATCAGAAACACGTACGGCCTAATTTATTATTAGCAGTCTGGTGTTAATTAGGAGGAATTACCAGAAATAGTTTGCTTGATGGAAATTTATTATAGGATCACACTTTACCGATGGCAAAATAGGAGTCACTGAAAGAATGCAGTTTCTACTCATAACCAACTAATTAATAAGGTGCCAAAATTCCTCTGAGAAGGGTTTGGTCCTCACTATGGGAACCTCACAGGGTAAATGGTTCCTATGCAGTATTTAAAATTTAAAAGGGGAAAAGAGGGAGGAGGGGAAATTGCTGCCCAGCAGAAGTCTCAAAAGTGGCAAGGGTTTTACTTGCACTTACAAATGAAAGCATTTAACTCAGTTTCTAGCCTTATAATAACTCTTATGCAGACAGAAAAACAGCTTTACATTTATTATCTTACTTGGTATTCTTGAACTTGATTTTAGTTTTCCTTGTGTATCCTACATTATCACTGAATTTTATGGATAAGACATTAGAAATATTGGATTTATACTGAATTTTATTCCCATTAAAAACTCTCCTTTTCATAAACTTAAACAACAGATGGTCTGGTAGCACTTTATAGACTAACAAAACATGTAGATAGTCACAGCCCGCTTCTTCAGATGACCGAAATTTTCTTATAAAGAAGTGGGCTGTGCCCACGAAAGCTCATGATACCATCTACATGTTTTGGTAGTCTATAAAGTGCTACCAGCCCATTAGTCTGTACAGGATAAACTTAAAAAACAACAAACTCGGCTATCCCCTGAAGCTTCTCCTTTTCATGTAATGGCTTAAAAAGTAAAGCTCAGAGTAAGTGGCAAATTTGTATTAAGGATTGATATGTGAGGCATAGCTTCTACACTTCAATGTACCTAAATGTACAGCATATAAAGCAGTTTGGGGCTAGAAAAGCACTGTCAGGGTATGACTACACTGCCACCCTAGTTCGAACTAGGTAGCTAAGGTAGTCATTCGAACTTGCAAATGAAGCCCGGGATTTAAATATCCCAGGCTTTATTTGCATGTTCCCGGGCGCCGCCATTTTTAAATGCCCCGTAGTTCGAACTACCTGCCCGCGGCTACACATGGCACAGACTAGGTAGTTCAAATTAAAGCTCCTAATTCAAACTACCATTACTCCTCATTGCAGGGAGTTTGAACTAGGGTGGCAGTGTAGACATACCATCAGTTATTAGCAAAAGCTGTGTGTTTCAGTGAAATCCACATACAAACAATAAGTTTTCCTTGTATCTGCACAGAATACAGTATTATTATGCAATTCAATGCAACCAAAACCTTGTTTACTTGTCATAAAATGATTTAAAAAATCACAAGAACCTAAGCAATTTAGGACCATAGGTACCATTGCAAATCATTAGAATTTATGCTCCAGGTGGCTTAGAAACTTCAAAAAGTCACACTCCTTTTCTTCTGTGTTTTAAAACACTTCTCCTGTATTACAAAACTTCTGCTTTCACACTTTCCAAAGACAACACTCACACCTGAATTTTATCTTTCCTACCTACTAGAAAGCCCCATTGTTTTTTTTTTTTTGTATTATTATTTGTTAAAAATACTTCAGTAAAAGATAATCCCATCAGGTGTGTCTTTATTTTTCTTCCTGGTACACGAATGAAATGTGAAATGTTCCTTTGGTAAATATAAATCTGAACTAAGGTTTGGTGAGTCATTCATCAAAATGTCATGTTTTTCTTGCCTTGAAGTTTCCATTTTGATTCAGCCATTCAAACATACATGGACATTTCCTCCTCTGGGCAGTCCTCTATCCCCATGAATTGTCTCAAGCAACAGGACTGAGACCATGTTTTAGGTCAATTTTAATAATTGCGCAAGTTTTGTGCAATCCCAATGAAGCAAATTGCCTATGTAAATAACAAGTAACTCCAATGTAGTCACACAGGTTTTATTCTTCAATGTAGTCATTAAGTGTGATCAGAACTAGACCCTCTTTTTCTGGATCTGATTATAAATCTGCATACAGAAATTCCTTATTTAACACTATAGATGCATTTCTGAAAATGTTCGTGCTAAGCGAAAATGTGCTATGTAGAGTCAATTTTCCCATTAAAAATAATGGAAAAGATGGGGGTTGTGTTTCAGGTGGTGGTGGCAAAGTCAATCTTTTGTTGGTCCTGGGTTGTCAACATCAACATTAGATCTCTAGCAACACAAGATAACTAGCAACACAAGTTGCCACGGTTTGTTAAAACACAAAAATAAACACGAGTGAGTGGAGGAGCACTGTGACCACATGTATTCATCCACTCATGCATATTAACACTGTTTTCACCAACTTATACTGCTGCGCAAAGTAGTCCACCACTTGATTATTTTCACGTTATTTCAGGGACGGTCGTGTTATTCAAAAACGGTCCCAAAAAAAAAAAGTGCTATTGCGAAAACTTGTTAAACAAGTAATTACTGTATTTTCATTTAGGTAAATTTAGACTTGCCAATTTATGTTTGCAGAGGATCTGGCCCATTACCTTATCAGGATCCACACTAACAATTTCCTCAAGGAAATGACATCACTTTAAGACTAGGTGGCAAAATACCAATATCTCAGCCCCATGATACTTAGAGCACTTTCCAGTGTCATTTAAAAGATGTAAAAATTCTCACATAGCATATTTCATCTCCTGAAACTCTGAATTCTGACTTCTGTAGACAGCTTCTAAAATTTTATTTATTTATTTAAAATAGTTAAATAGTCAAAGTGGCTTAAAACATTTTAAAAACACAATATAAATATATATAAAAAAGTAAAGTACAATACTCAGGGGGGAGGGCGGGAGCATAAAACCTGCTAAGACACCTCAAGAGGAGGAACACGCACACACAACTCAAACAAAAAGCACAGGTAAAAAGGATGGCTTTAGCCTGGTGCCGAAACAGTACCAGCGTTGGTACTGAATTCCATAGGCTGGGAGCAAGGGCTGAGGAGGCCATGCTTCATGTAGCTGTCTGACTTATATCTATAAGTGGAGGAATACAGAGTAGAGCCCCTAGGGGACCTTAATCCTTAGGCAGATTCATATAGGAAAAGACGGTCCTTCAAATACTCTGGTCCCAACACATTTAGGGCTTTATAAGTCAGAACCAAGACCTTGAATTGTATCCAGAAACATACCAGAAGCTAGTGCAGCTGCTGGAGCACTCGCATAATGTGCTCCGTATAATGAATGTTAGTTAAAACTTGAGCAGCCACATTCTCAACCAGTTGAAATTTCTGAAGACTGAAGGCAGCACATTGCAATACAAGCAGTCCCCGGGTTACGTATGAGATAGGGACTGTAGGTTTGTTCTTAAGTTGAATTTGTATGCAAGTCGGAACTGGTACATATTGTAGGGGAAACTCTAGCCAAACATTTCTCCAGAGCTCAGTTTTATTCTCCCACACCTCACTTCCCTCAATCCTTTATTCTCAAGCTGAGGGGTCTGCTGAGAAAAGCCGCTCCGCGTCTCCCTGGTCTGCTGGGGGGGCGCTAGCTTCGCGTCTCCCTGGTCTGCTGGGGGGAAGCAGCTAGTGCGGGGTTGCCTCACCCTGATTGTAAGTAGGGATCCGATGAAAGTAAGTAGGGATCCGATGTTGCCTCACCCCGTTTGTAAGTAAGGGGCCCGGGGACTGCCTGTAATCCGATTGGGATGTGACAAGAACATGAATAACTGTGGCTAAGTCATTCTTATTCAGGAAGGGTCACAACTTGCGGATCAGCCAAAGCTGCCCAAAAGCTCTCCTGGGCACTGAGGAAATCTGGTTATCAAATGTTAGAAAAGGATCCAGGAGGATTCCCAAACTGTGTACCTCCAGATACTGGTTCAGATCAGTTGCCACAACACCTGCATCCCATGTCACAGATAAATTGTGTTGGGTGTCATCTGCATATTGATGGCACCGTCCTTCAAATCTCCTTACGACCTCTCCCAGCGATTTCATGTAGAAGTTAAACACCATAGAGGAAAAGATGGAACGTTGTGGGATGCTGTAGCACAATTGCCACAGGGTCAAACAGCAGCCCCCTAGCTCCATCGTCTGAAAATATCCTGA